AAAGATGGAGATGTTGATGAGGTTGTTCATTCTTCCTCCACTTCTTTCTGTAATAATAAGTTCTTTGTGAATAAACAAGAATGTACAGCAGTTTCTTTGGAAAAATCCCATACAATATGTTGATGTATGTGAATTAGGTTGAAAGAAATTATGCATACCTGATTGAATTCCTGGAAGTATCACTTGTGTTGCTTAAGAAATTGAATTGTGGGTAATTCTCCAAATTGTCTTGATTCTTCAATTTGATGTTATTGTGAATTGAATGTAACCTGTTCAAAAAAGAATAAGCATAGTTTCATCAAGTAATCACAAGCATTATCTCTTTACTTCATATGATCTATTGTACAGAAATACAGTGAGACCCCCACATGGGGATGCCTTGACCTGCATACAATTCAATATAGGGACACTTATTTTCCTAGAAAAAATTAATTAATAAATACAAATACATTTCAGGCCAATATACAAAAAACACATATCTCCAGCCCTTTGATGTAAGACATGTTCTTGGGCATTTCTCTCACCAATTTACCATCCATTTAGCTAATTTAAAAAAATTACCACCAGCATAGATGAGGGACTTCAATATTTTTCTTCACGAGTGTTATTTTTGTCAATTCCAAAATTTTAATGTACAGTACAGAGATATTCAATGCTCCAAATGATCTTATTGATTTGAAAATGTAATCTCCAAGTAAAATTCAAGTGGCAAAAAATTTTCTTCAGGAACATCGCAAGAATATTTCTTCCATAAATAAGCACCAATTAAAAAATTCTGTATAAATGCATTAAATTCTTTGCTGTCTAATATGCATGGTATTCTCTGACAAATTTTCCTTGAAATTTAAAATGCCAAAAACTCATTAACGTTACCTAAAGACCCTGTCCACTTGGGAAGAGAAATTCAGGCAAATGCACCAGGTTTAATGTAATAAAATTCCAGGAAGGGAAATTGTCTGGCAAAGATACCATGGTCAAACAATTTTGCTTCTGGAAATGTTGCAACGTACATCTACGGTGGGAGGTACCTTGGTCAGCCAAATTCATCTCCAACTCACATTTGTACTCTTGAATTACATATATTCTGTTTGTTCCCCATACCTTGAATCAATCTGCAAGTTTTGAACATCATTTATGTTGCAAAAACGGATTTGGTGACATGGCATGAGGTAGATCCACTTTGGGAGGTACCATAGTCAGAAAAAAAAATTACAACCAGCAGAATAAAAACAGAATTATTGTCAAAGAAGTTAGAAAATGGGATGCATCAAGTTTGCATCCAGAAAGGATGCATGTCATGCCTCCGCCTTGCAGGCACCAGTTTGTTGCTGGCACCAGGGGTATAAATGTCACTCTTGTCCTTTCTGGACACTGTCTGGATGCATCCTATTTTCAACCTTTATTTGGATGTGTCCATTTTGGATGCACAAGAGACCTGCAATATCCACATCTTTGTCTGATGCATCGTACTGCTTAGAATGTGAACACATCCAATCAACAGTCCTCTTCTCCTTCTCTGGGTACATGAACACATGGGACGCTAACTGTTCCTGTCCACAATGTGTACCTTCTGGACAGGTACAAAAAGTGGGGGATATGGACCCTTAAAGGGATGCATTTGTTTAGTGTCCTTTTCAGATGCATGGGTGTAAGAAATTCTCTTACTTTCCTTTAAAATATTCCACCACTAATTTTCTTCTCTCAGGATTTAATCTACTAAAGTTAAAGGGGGTTTAGAGAATGCTCCAAATGTAGCAAAACATAACCTGGCTGCCCCCTGAAAAAAATTGATTATGGTCAAAAGATTATCACCCTGAAACATAGTCAGGTCCAGTTTTGTGGGCTATGGCTTGTAATGGGAGGTACTGAAAAATGTTGGGATTTGGCATACAGGAAAGGAACAATTCTGCTCTTTATATCGATTTTTTATGGAGTCCTGAAGTTGCTTCTCCTCAAAAACTTGTTTGTGCAAATGGACAAAAGAATCTGCATTAGCCCTTGTGCTGTGCTTATTTGTGCACTTCGCAAGTTTGGCGTGGACAGATCCAAAACACTGGAAGAAGGAAAGACACTTGAACTCCATTTAAAGATTTGGAATTCATATTTTGATAGGTAGATTTTAAGAGGATATTAGAGGATCCTAATTAATTTGGGAAATACTCTCAATGATTCTACTGGATTATGTATATAAATTAATTGCTTAGCAATTCATTAAATTTTTATTAAATTATTTTAACTGATAGAAAGTATTGATAGGAGTCTTTGTCAATACTTATATATAATATATATATATTTATATTTATATATCTGTGTCTGTGGTTAATTCAATCAAGAAATGATATTTAAATATCATATTTGAAGTCTGGATGCTTTTAAAAAAAAAGCTGGTTCCCATGCTGGGAATTGAACCCAGCCTTCTGGGTGAAAGCCAGACATCAAATAAACCTGGTTCAAAGTAAAGGCCTTAGAAGGCCTGAATTTTCTCATAAAAATTTGGGATCATCATGTGACCTTTATCTGCCAGGAGTGTGTGTATTAGCAATTAGAGTTTATTTATTCTGTGATTTTTATCTCATGAGCAATATATCTGATCTGTTATTCCAATTTGTTGCTGGTTTATCCCGGGAAAGTCAATCACCTACTTCTAGAATCATGCAACCACGGATTGCCGATCCGGATTGTTTGAAACCAGTGACTTTGTCAAATGTGAAAGATCCAATTTCTTTCACATGGGGATGCATTTGTGTAGTGTCCTTTCCAGACACACCCGGATTATTTGGACTAGGTTTTCCTGGGTACATTAGTACTGTGCTGTATTTTATCTGTCAGAAATGCAACAGCTTAAATGCGCTCACCTTGAATGATTTCTGGACATAACATGGCAAGGAACTTTCAGTCCTTGATCATGCATGGTAGTAAATATAGTTACTAAAACAAATGGTCATAGAAATATTACCTTGTTGATTGGAGAATGCAGAAGGCATGATCACACAAACATTTTAAAAATATTCTGCTGGGAAGGGTATGTGTGGTACCCAAAAAGACTGTATGTGTGTTAAACATGCTTGTCCCATGCAGTTTTTTGAATATATTAAACGGTAGTCATGAATTGCCTAAATATATAATATATACTGTACTATGGATTGTATGTACAGTACTATGCTATGTGCTATTTATACTACCACAATATATAATACAGTATACTGCATATACTACTTGTTTATACAATGGAGTAAATGTCAAAACTCTCAGCCATTGAAATTGCTTCTTTTATTAAAAAGATCCATTAAATGCTTTGATACAGTGCTCCCCAATCTTTTTGGGTCTGCAGACGTGCACATTTCCTGGCAATTTTTTGCAGACTAGCAAAAATTTTCAGACTCAGAAAAATGTAGCTTGAAAGACTTTTCGCCGGACATTAGAAAATATTCTGCAAAATTCAAGTCAAGAACCAATGAAGCAGCTGTTATGGTGCAATGTCTTCAGAAAATCAGGAAGGTGGGCTTGAAGAAACGTTTCCTCAGCAGAATGAAAATGAAATAATTTCTTTCAGCAGATGAAAATGTGTCTGAAGTGCTATCAGGGGAATGCCAGGTTTCCTTTTTCAATAGATAATTTCTACTGCCATTTTATTCCAGAAATTTCTGATGAAGATCAGACTTCATTGCTAATTTTAGTAAACCAATTATTCTGAAAACATATCCCCTGGCTTGGCAAAAAACTCTTTCAGAATGGCCAGAATGAAGAATTTCAATGATTTATTTCATCAGGTGAAAATTTGTCTGAAGTGTTCTTAAGAGAAAAGCCAGTATTTATTTATACCCTGTAATTCTAACTGCCCTTTCCTTTCCAAAATTTTAGAGAAAGATTGTGTAACATTCTTTATTGCTACTTTTGATTGATTCATCAAGCTGAAGAAGATTTCCTGCGGACCAGCTAAAAACTTCTGAGTATCAGTGCTGGTCCAAGGACCACCGGTTGGGGAACTTATGAGTTAGGATACAAATAATAAGAAACCCACATCATTTTGCATTACATTCTTGAACCTTGTTCATTTGTTTCCAGCAGTTTGGGATCCTCCTGTTTTGCTTCTTGAGGCAGCTGTTGTAATTAAATCTTCATTTCCCCTTGTTTTGGAACCCTGCTTTTCTGGCTTCCAAAAACAAGTTGGTTTAAGAACTCTTATAATTTTTTTCCACTTTGGAGTTGCCCGCTTTTTTGTTGACCACTTACAAAGTGCAATCTTCTTACCTGAAATCAATTTACAAGTGAACATTTGTTGACATGTTGAACAGGAGTGCGTTCACAATTTTGCACTCATGTCAAATTTATAAAGAGGACTAAATTGGCTTAGCCAAAATATATTGCGTCTGACATATACATTTCTGTACCATTTCACAAAGTTTTTGAACTTGCCCTCCACACAAGCATGTCTTTGATCCATGTACAGTACATCATTGCTTTTTTCATGAAATAATTTTTATGCGACGCTTTTGGTTCAATTCCCAAACAAATTCATGTTATTTCTTTAAAAATTTTGTGCTTTACTGTATATCTGATCTTCCAGCAAAAATGAAAATTAAAGTACTCATTAAGGGCATCAGTATATAACGTGTAATGCGTATATGAAACCTTTTATGTATTTTTTGTGTCAGTATTATTCCCTGTTCATGTATAATAAGCCTGAATACTTGATGAAAACAGGGTAAAATACTTCATGAAATATTATTCAATGTAAATACACCAAATGTTTTTGAAGAAAAGCATGACAGCCCATCATGTTTAATGCCACCTTATTTGTATCATCTTCATCAAAAAAGCAATGCCTGCCGATAAAAAAAGAAGAAAAAATCTGAAACTATGTGCCAAATGAAAAAAGAAACACTTCGATTGCAGCACATCTTCAGGAGAAAAAGAGAAGTTGTCAAACCGAAAGCCGTAAACTGATGCATAAATGATTGTATAATCGACGAGACCTATGATGCTCAAAATATTCTTTTTCAAACATAGCCGGATTTGAACGTGCCCACCGCGTGGTTCCCATAGATTCCGTCGTGGCAGTACGGGTAGTTGACGCACTCAGCTGGGTTCACGTTGGCCGGGTACTTGTCTCCACCTGGTGTTGCCTGCATATATACAGCATACGCGGGTAAGGAATTACAATATAGTGGAATTTCCTCACAACAAATCCCGTTATAACGAATAATCGATCATACAACAAAGTAATTTTCCAGTGGATATGTCCACGTTGCCCGATAGCCGCAATGTTGGAACAGGTCCTTCCTCACGAATTTTTTGCTGTGCAAAAAATCCTTGTTACGAAATTTTGCAGCATTAAAAAGTTGACGTATTGTCTGTTTTTGGTATTCAAGGTTTCCTAATTTATTTATTGGAGTCTACCATAGCAGGTGTAAAGTACTTACGCCATCTTTGGGGATCAGTTTTTTCTCAATAAATCATAAGGGCAATGGCTTCAGTATATGGATCCAAACTCTGCCCAAAAGTTGGAAAAATAAGTCAAAATTTTGAGGATATCAAATTAAATTATCATAAAAATGCACTGCAGGAAGGATGAAGCATGGTGAAAACAATAATTGAATAGATCATTATTGATATTACAAAATATTTCATGCAGATATGAATTTGCATTATATTCTTAGGTTTATATATACATTAATGCATAAGCAAGAAACTTTTGGTTGAAGGAAAATTAAACGTTTATATTTTTAATGGTTCAAGAGCATTGGAAAAAAAATTCACACACTGTTGTTGGATAATGTGGCACTGTTCTGTGTATGAGTACATAACCAAAAATTCCTACAGTTCACTATAATTTGAATAATTATGTTTCACTTGTACACATTTTAGTGGTTAAGGCACTCATGAAGATTCTTGAAGAAATTTATGCTTTTTTTCACCCATTTAAATCATGATTCATGGAAATATTTGCCCTTTAATGCTTTGTCATTAAATTAAATGTTTAAAAAAATTTCTCTCATCACTGCTTTTATGTTTTACCTCATTATTCAGGCAGATGTCCCTCATTCTTTGATTTAAAGTATAAATGGCTGCAGTCATACCGAAAATTTAACCAAAAACAAGGTACATGCTGTGAGTCTCCTGTGACATGTATGTACAGTACAATAACCACCATGGAGCTCAGCAATCATACCTGAGCCAGAAACACTAGTACAAGCTCTGGTTTAAAAATTATGATGCAATACTCTGGCTGTTGTGAGAAGAAACCATTCCATAATGACTGGATTTAAATTTCTTTTGAATAACCAGCACTTATGATTGGAATAAAAGTTTTACTGCTGCAAAACACAGCATGGCACAGATTTACCAGCAGCAGAAAGCTCACACTCACCATTTTCTCTAACTAGTACTATCAAAATGAAACCTCATGTTCCATCAATTGTGTCACTTCAAGAGGCAATGCTTTGTTTAATGAATTCCAAGTGCCATACTATGATGAAAGCACATGTTCTCATTTGCTCACTTCAGTTAGGCAACTTTGGGACTGGATAGTACAGTACTTGAATGCAGCAGACCTATACATAACATCCATGCAGTTTTTGTTCTTTGCCAACATCAGTTTTGGCCCCAGAATGTCATGCAGTATCCTTTTTCTGTATGTGAATGTATTTATTTTCAGATGTCAATGTTCTTCAAATAAGTAAAGCATTCACAAGAGTGATGATAATACTGCTTACAAAAATCATTGAAGACAAGATTAATTCTTCAACATTTGGGTCCAAATGCAAAAAAGCTAGAATGGACTATCTTATTGAATATATGTACATGTTTGCAATGTTCTGTTAGGGGAAGAAAGCTCTCATTAAAGACATAATTCTTTGCTACTGTTTTCAACATAATTGAAGAAACCATGCACTATTCAACATTAGGGTCTAAATTGGAAGAATAGATTGAAGTATCTCATTGCATATGTGTCAATGTTTGCAATTCTGTCAACATTTTTGGAACACCATGTCCACCAGTACTAAATAACCCAATTTTCTACCTTCTGTGCAAGAGAAGTGAAGAAATGAGCTTTTTTTCATCACACTTTCTTGCAAAATTCTTCCATATACTCACATAAGCATAAGGGTAGGCACTGTAGACAATTGGAGCCAGAGGGCGAACAGCATATGTAAGCTTGTTGTAAGGGGCAACAGCATAACCAGAAGTTGGATCCACAAGTTGATTACAGTATGGGTAGTTGGGACAGGCAGCAGGGTTCACACCAACTGGGTACTTGGCAGGGAGATGTGATGCACTACTGGCTGTGACCATCAGGACAGCAGCAAAGATCAATGCAATCAGGGCCTGTCAACAAACCAGATATGTTGGCAATCATCATTTCAGGACAACAATAAAAATTACTGTATATCCACCATAGTAACACTTGCACATTTTCAAACCATTTTAACCATGTTCCACCAATAAACCTTGTTCATCCTTGTTTTTTTTTAGAATCACACAAGCTTTTATGAAATTTCATTTAAAAATTCAAATATCAGAAACAGTTCTAGAGAAATTAACATATGTTGGACTATCAATAACAGATATAAAATGAATGTTATGAAAATAATATGATACAAACTTCATTGGCTATTTTTTTATGATAAAAGACTAAAATTTACTCAAGTATTGCGTGTAATTTTTTCCAACCATTCAAACTCTGTTTCACTCATGAATTCTGTTTCACAATATTTTCAGCTTCAGGCAAACTTTCTTTCTTCATAATTAAAATCATCGAGGCATTGGAATTTTTTTCAAATGTGTTTTCTAGAATATTCATTTGGTATCTTTAATTTTGAGTCCCACTTTTTTCGAATCAACTTCATGACTTTTTCGGATATTTTATTCTATGGTCCATTGCGTAAAATTTAATGCAGCATATCTTTTGCCATTCTCCTCAGTCACACCAGATTGAAACTTTCATTTGCAAAATTGGACTTTGCTAAATTTCTCAACATTTTCTTCTCTTTTTCTGTGTGTTTCCGCCTATTAAAACAGTCCTAATTTTAAAAAGCTTGAGTTCATTCATATGATGAATCGTTGCTTTGGTGCAAAGAGTAGTAGAACATTATTTTCTAAATAATATAATCCAAGTTATGAACTGTTCAAGGAATTTTATTTTTAATGAGCTGGGAAACGTGTTCATTAGCACTGATAGATAATATTGTCCTTATTTCCTAATTTTATTCACGTGTTGCCATCTTTTACAGCACTAAAATATTTCTTACCCTGGATTCGCAAAATGAATTCAGTATAAAAATAGAAGAGAAAAAAAATTCCATGCAAAATCTGACCCAACAACAATAAAATGTTGTGCAAATAAAAATCCAAACGCTCGCAAATTGCCAAACGATTTCTCACACATTAATTAAATTTCTCATTCCATTATTGAAGAAAAGAAATTTTAAGCTGTCCTCAATGAGGGATCGAAGGGAAGGGGACTCACCATTGTTTATTTCTCTAAAGCTGAGCTTCTGAAAACTCGAATGGAATATCAGACCACAGCAGAAGGAAGATCAAATGTTACTCCTTTCGCAGCGAAAACTGGAATGATTTTCTGGATCAGGTCCTGGGCCCTTTTATACTCGAGTCTCTTTTGCGATGTGGGAGCAAAAATTAATTCTGGTCCCTTTCCCATATCATCCATCTCCAGTTCAACCCTGAGGCATTTCATCCGAATCTTCGTATTCATTTGTATGTGTGTGTTGTGCATGGTTTATCAATATGCGAGAAAAAGGGGAGAGCAAGAAAAAAAGAAACAGGAAAAAGTACTTCGTAATCTTCATGGACAGAAAGAAAGAAAACTTTGATTCCTCCTGGTGTTTGACTGAAAACGTGCGGCTTGATTGTTCTCCAAAAACCTTGTTGCCTTCATGCATGTTTTGTGTTCATCTAAATTCGTGTGGAGTCTCACACAGTGGACTTGATTTTGTCCACACGCACAAAAAAAAATAGTTGTCGAATGACGAAGCGTTTCCGTATTTTCCATGGCAGAAAAAACGTGAGGAAAATCATCCGTTCCTTTATGAAAAAGAAAATGTATCTATTTTTTTGTGTTGGAGTATCACACAATGGACTCAGTCTTCTTAGAAAAAAATTGATGGATGTGGCGTTTCATTTTCTATCCATACGAATCTTTAAAGGAAAATCGTTCGTTCCTGCGAAAAAAAAATTCTTCGATCATTTATCTATAAATTGATCGAAAGTTCAGCACAATATTTTCACTGTATTTTACGCATTTATATTTTCGTGCAGAATGTGGCGTTTCACACAATCTTTTCTCCAAATAAATGTCTTGGTGAGTGAGGCGTTTTGTTTTCCATCGCAAAAATTTATGGATGAAAATCATTTGTTCCTATATCAGTACAAGTAACGGAAGAAGAAGTGCAATCATTCTTGCAGGAATTGATTGCGTGTTCAGCACTTGGTTTGCAAGTGTATTTGTGTAGGATAATGGAGTCTCACACAATGAACGTGATTTTCACAACAGAATCGGCTGTTGTATGAAGCAGTTTCCTTCCTTGTCATCATAAAAATTCCTGAGGAAAAAGTTATGTGCTCTAACAGAAAAAATTAAATGTATTTCATCTGGTATATTTCAACATTGATAGCTTGTATATCTGCATTTGAATGTCTAAAATATTTGTGTTGAGCCTCACACAATGGACCAAAATAATGAACAAATTTGTTGAATGTGACATAGAAATTGATTTGGTGGAAATGAAACCTTTGTTATAACAGAAAAAAATGAATGAAATGATTATTTTCCTTCAAATTCATTGCATGTGTGCCCAGCAAATAATTTGGGCATTTTGAAATGCGTTTTAAATGCATTTCTAGCCAAAAATGCTACGCATTTTGTACCTCACTATGTTACACCTACCCGGGATTTTATTTAATGTGTACCTTATAGACGTTTTGAAATGCCCTCTAGTTACAGCCAGGTATTTATCCAAGCGTAACTCAAGCTATGCCTGGATAGGATTGATTATAATGCAGAAACGCATTTGATATGAGTTTTCAAACAGGAAATTGTTGCAAAGAAAACCACAAAAAAATATTCTCACCAAGACAGACTGGGCTCATTATACACAATGCACACTTTATATACACACACACACACACACTGACAGGGAAATAAATGAATAATAAACTGCCCCTCTTGGGATTCAAACTTCAAACAAAACATTCCTGAGCCCAAAGTTATATCAACTGCGCCACCGTACCTTGGTATTATTACTGAGGTGATAATAACTCAGTAATAATACCAGGGCATGTAATACCTAGTATTTTTTTAGATGGTACTGTATTATATATTGGAAATAAACAGTTTTGGGATTGTAACAGATAGGCATTTTAAAATGCCTGTCTGATACAGTCTCAAAAACTGTTCATTACAGCTTTTCCTTCATTGTAGCATGGAATTTTTATTTACACCAGCCTGTTACATTCTTTAAAAATTATTCTTCATTTTTAACAGTATTTTTAACATCAAAATTTATATTTTGTGGTTTTGTATGATTGCGACAAACTGATGCAACAAACATAAAAATCTGCAACATTGCAATTGTCGCATCAGTTTGTTGTACCAGTTTGTTGCAGCGCATATCCAGGGGTCCAGATCCGTGCTGTGGTATTATAAAATACCAAAGATCTGTGATTTGCCTTGGTATTACTACCGCAGCCAATCATCCAAACTGTGGTATTTTACTTTACTGCAGCGCGGATCCAGACTGCTGGATCCGCGCTGCAATGTTGCGATTGGCTGCGGTAATAATACCGTATCCAATCACATGCCAGTATGATACGGCTGGTATTATGCTGGCAATAGAGAACCCCGCGTACTGCATGGTTCTCACACTGGAGAAAAAACTGTAGGGTGTTTTCCAGTATAATACCGCCAGTATAATACCGGCAGTATTATAGAGCAGGGAACTGGCAGGGTTCTCAACAGTCATGGACATGGACAAGTCCGTCCTTGTCCATTGTCCTGGCAAAATGTCCTATAGACAAATTCAATTGTAGAAAAAATTAAAACTGTCAATTGTCAACACTAATTTCAATAGAAGTCTGTTTGGTGGAGTTTGTCTGTTGAGTGGGACAAAAAACTGTCTGCAGTTGTGGTCTGTTGGACAAGAATCCCTTATGCAGGAGGTCTGTTAGGCAAGGGGCAGCTTTGCTGAATTTGTTTTGCTCACCCAGGAAAACCATTTAGCGTCACAAAATGCATCAATCACATGTGCCTCTGAGGTGTATATATTCAGTGGTGAAAAGTCATGACCAGGGTACCAGGAGAATTATGTGGACTGAAACATGTTCCTAAGCAATTTGAAGTTGATGCAAGACAAGTCATGTCCATTTGGGACACAAGAATCACCTGTGACAGGATGCATCATTGGCATTTACTTCTGTGTTTCTTCAACCCTTGTGTTGGAAAGTTGGGATATTTTTGCAAGAATTTGTCCCCATCATGAGGGCATCAAATAAAAACAAAAGATTTTTGAGCCAAGGTCCAAGTCAGGAAAAAGTCCAATATTTCTTTTACAATCCTGCAGAAAAGTTTGGCTCAAAAATGAAAGAAATCTTCACCCAGGGTGAAGATTTTTTCATTTCTCTAATTTCCTTTTTGTTTGTTCTGTGAATGGAGAGAGAGAGTCAAAAAGTCAACTCTCCAATCATGGTTCTCATCCACTCTATAAAGAGCAGGCATCATATCCTCCCAAGGCTCCACCAGAGCTTCATCAGCAAGCTTTGCAAATGCCAACAATCTGTCTTTCAATCAGATTGCTTAAATGATGGATTGGTTAAAGCAATCCACCTTCAGTATACATTACAAGAGAACTAATTTCTCTGAAGGTGGAAATCTCATGTACAGAAATCCATGATTTTGTACTCCCATGTATGCATTTCATTTCACTGAAACACGTTTTTATGATTATGTGATGGTGATTATGATTTCATATTTGGCTTTCTTGTATTTACTTCTGTGTATTGTTATCATGTACTACATTGCTATTGGACACAACATATGCTTGCATTTTATGCCATGTCATGTCCTTTTATTGAGATTCCTCTTTTGGTTTTCTCACTTCTTCTACCAGTTGATGCTCTTCAGTCACTCAAGCCAGTTCTAAAAATTTATGGAAAGAGAACCAGCAAAGTGTTCACTAACAAGATCCCAGTCCAAAATAGTGTCAGACATATATGTGAGTGTTAGCAAGATGGTTCTCTTTACTTGAATCCCACCCTCTAAGCCACCCTGCAGCTGCAGACAGCTTTCACTCCTTTGTGGTTACTGAACACTACTGAAGCTGGTGGCTCTCTAGAGGATAGATGAAGTCAGGCTGTAATCACATAAAGAGAACCATCTTGTGAACACTGACATATCCCAGTCTGACACTATGTTTTGGACTGGGTCCTTGCTTTATTCTCATGGAAATCTTTTAGTATTTAGAACTCTCATCAGTTTTTTCTTGGGAGTTGCATGCCCACTTTTTTATTGACTACTTACGAAGTGTAATCTTCACACCTGAAATCAATTTACAAGTGAACATTTGCTGACATGTCGAACAGATTTACATTCACAATTTTGCACTTATGTCAAATTTATAAAGAGGACTAAATTGGCTTGGGCAAAATAAACTGCATTCAACATATACATCGCTGTACCATTTCACAAAGTTTTTGAACTTGCCCTCAGCACAAGCATGTCTTTGATCCATCATGTATATAGCATTAATGTACTTTTTTCATGAAATCATTCTTATGCGACGCTTTTGGTTCAGTTCTCAAGCAAATTCATGTCGTTTCTTTGAAGATCGTGTGCTATTTACCGTACATTTGTTCTTCCAGCAAAAATGAAAATTAAAGTACTGTACTCAATAAAAAGGCATCCATATATAATGTCTAAGGAACCTTTCATGTAATTTTTGTGTCAGTATTATTTCCTGTTCATGTATAATAGGCCTGAATACTTGATGAAAACAGGGTAAAATACTTCATGAAATAATATTCAATGTAAATACACCAAATATTTTTGAAGAAAAGCATGACAGCCCATCATGTTTAATGCCACCTTTGTATCATCTTCATCAAAAAAGCAATGCCTGGCGATAAAAAAAGAAGAAAAAATCTGAAACTATGTGCCAAATGAAAAAAAAAACACTTCGATTGCAGCACATCTTCAGGAGAAAAAGAGAAGTTGTCAAACCGAAAGCCGTAAACTGATGCATAAATGATTGTATAATCGACGAGACCTATGATGCTCAAAATATTCTTTTTCAAACATGATGACTATTCCGATTCGGCAGTACTGTATATTTTCTTGATGAGGTTCCTTCATCTTTGTTGGGGGAGATTTCTAATGGCAGAAGGGGTAGTTGGGACATGCAGCAGGATTCACCCCAGCCGGGTACTTGGTCGCGTAGCCCCCGTAGTTCTTGGCAATGGCGTGCACGACAGGGACGACACCTGTGTAGCCGGATTTGAACGTGCCCACCGCGTGGTTCCCATANGGGACGACACCTGTGTAGCCGGATTTGAACGTGCCCACCGCGTGGTTCCCATAGATTCCGTCGTGGCAGTACGGGTAGTTGACGCACTCAGCTGGGTTCACGTTGGCCGGGTACTTGTCTCCACCTGCTGTTGCCTGCATATATACAGCATACGCGGGTAAGGTATTACAGTATAGTGGAATTTTCTCACAACGAATCCCGTTATAACGAATAATCGATCGTACAACAAAGTCAATTTCCAGTGGATATGTCCACGTTGCCCGATAGCCGCAATGTTGGAACAGGTCCATTCCAAAAAAAATTTCACTTCACAAAAATAAAGCCATTTTCCTGGCCCCAATGGCTTTGTTGTAACGAGATTTTACTGCATTAAAAATGTAATCTATTGTCCGTTGGTGTTCAAGGTTTCCTAATTTATTCGAGTCTGCACCATTACAGGAGTTAAGTACGTACGCCATCTTTGTGGATCAGTTTTTTCTGAATAAATCTTGAGGGCAATGGCTTCAGTATAGGGATCCAAACTCCGCCCAAAAGTGAAAAAAAGTCAAAACTCTGAGGATATAGAATGACATTATCATGAAAGTGCACTGCAGGAAGGATGAAAGCTTTTTGGGAAACAATTGAATAGATAGATCCATCATTATTGGTTAACAGCAGAATATATAATGCGTACATAATTGTATGTGAATGGGTTGATTTAATGTATAAGCAGGAAATTCTTGGTTGAATAAAAATTGAACGTTTCCATTTATAATGGATTAAGAGCATTGGAAAAAATTCAAACATTGTACAGTACTGTAGATTGAAATATCTCAATGCTTGCAATTTTGTCAACATTTTTTGGAACACCATCTCTACCTGTGCAGTATAACCCAGTTTTCTACCTTCTGTGCAAGACAAGTGAAAAAATAATCTTTTTTTCGTCACACTTTCTTTCAAAATTCTTCCAAATACTCACATAAGCATAAGGGTAGGCACTGTAGACAATTGGAGCCAGAGGGCGAACAGCATAGGTAAGCTTGTTGTAAGGGGCCACAGCATACCCAGAAATTGGATCCACAAGTTGATTACAGTATGGGTAGTTGGGACAAGCAGCAGGGTTCACACCAACTGGATACTTGGCAGGGAGATGTGATGCACTGCTGGCTGTGACCATGAGGACAACAGCAAAGATCAATGCAATCAGGGCCTGTCAACAATCAAAATTACTGTATATCCACCATAGTAACTTTTGCACATTTTCGAAGCATTTTAACCCTGTTTCACCAAGAAACCTTGTTTATTCTTTTTTTTTTTTTTTAGATTCACACAAGCTTTTATGAAATTTCATTTAAAAATTCAAATATCAGAAACAGTCCTAGAGAAATTAACATATGTTGGACTATCAATAAGAGATATCAAATGAATGTTATAAAAATATGATACAAACTTCATTGGCTATTTTTTATGATACAGTAGAAGACTAAAATTTACTCAAGTATTGCGTGTACTTTTTTCCAACCATTCAAACCCTGTTTCACTCATGAATCCTGTTTCACAATATGTTCAGCTTCAGGCAAGCTTTCTTTCTTTTTAATTAAAAACATCGAGGCATTGCAATTTTTTCGTAAGTTTTTTTCTAGAATATTCATTTGGTATCTGTAATTTTGAGTCCCACTTTTGTTGAATCATCTTCATGACTGTTTGGGATATTTTATTCTTGGTCCATTGCATAAAATTCAATGCAGCATATCTTTTGCCATTTGTGCGGAATTTTTCTTATAAGATAATTCGTTGCTGGTAGACATTGTTGGCGCGCCTGGGGACGCGCCTGCAGCTGTTTTAGAGACCCTTCAACAGGGCTTCAGGGCAAAAATTATTGTAAACTCGACACACTGTCGAAAGTATCGAAATACAGGCCCATCTCTGGGCAAACGATTCCAGTTAAG